GAGCTTTAAAAGTCACAGGATCAGTTCCCCTAACGTTAGTATCTCAGTAATCGGATTGACTTTAACTTTGGTTTCTAATCATTATTCAAAACCAATCTACTTACTTTAAGCCGATATCTGCACCAAGTTGTTTTCCAATCGAGATTTTATTACCTGGCATGCTTGCAAACTAGAGTGTACTTTAATTAATTCTACGAGCATCCGTTTTCGTTGATCACCTGCAGTCGAAATTCACTGTAATGGAAACGGTAGCTAAACTATCTAGGTACTTCCTCTAACTTAAATACAAACTCCATTTCACGTTCGCAGACTTTTCGTGTAATTACTTAATAGCTGTATTGAAATGCAAGGTCTGTAACTCTTGCCTAAAGCGAACGAACAAGTTGACTAAAGTAATATTACTACGTAAGTACGCAAAAAGAATTGTAATGTTTCCATCTACTTCTGAAGTCATAACTACTCGTCACAAGACGTACTCATAGTTGTTTGAATTAAAAGAAAATATTAGCAATCAAGCGGGAGGGTATTGGAAAATGTAAATTGATTGTTCTAACGAAATCAATTAAAGTGAGGCTTTCCGTTGATGGATTTCCATTAAAGAAACGGTGCGACGAACGCTTTAATTTTAAAGCCCTCTGCGCAATTAATCCCGCACAAATTACCGTAAATTGAACAACAGGCGGTTTTACTACAATATGAGGGAACATCTTGAGAACAGCCGCTTTAAATCAGCAGTTATTCTAAAGTGCATAGCTTTACCATACAGGTTTATGTTGGTCTAGCAGCATAGCGCCTCGGCGTGGCGTTCCGGATCGCGATTGTTGGGGAAATAATAGTACCCTTGTTTTCGTACAGAAGCGTTCAGTACTTCAAGCTATCAATTGAATAATGGAGTAGTTTTCTGTCATGCAAGAAGATGTCTCTTGCACTCTAAAATCCTGACGTAAGTTTGCCTGATATCCCGAAAATTAAGTTTAGACGTGCCGACAGTAAATCAGCGTGTCGCTCAGAATCCATATACATTTTTTATTGGACCCATTTATAGCGATTTGTAAGGCAGCGTTTCTATATTTCATGTTGCGTTACTAATATAGGACTATATTAATGAATCAATGCTCAGGCCTACACACAAAAAATAAAATGACGTGTTAATGTATCTTCGAAAACCATTAAATATTAAAGCCCTGTTATAAGTCGAATTTATTTCTTTTGCCAACACATTTACGTTTAACTTAATTTGTATGGGATGACTCTACGGCAGCTCACAGCCGAAAAAAAAGCATACAGCCTTATTCAATTTGGGAGTTTGCATGATCCCTCTACTTACATGATCTAATTTATATCTTCAAAAGTTAAACAGTCCCATATCACTTATTTTCTGCTACGTAATGGAAAATTTCTGGAATTTAATTCAAACGTATGTGAAACAACGCGCATATTCACGCTTTTTAAAACATTTCAAACAAATCCCTCTCTTATTTCATATAGAATGTAATTATAACGGAAAATTGTTGCGGTTAGGTAATTCTTTGATCTACCGATCAGTAGAGCAATTCAAAATATTGCAAACGAATAACAACGGGTCGCTAATCGCTATCGAGGATAACATGGAGAACACCGAACTTTTATGATAACAATATTTAGTAAGACTTTCAATAAATAGTTCAAAATTGCTCAATTACCATCCACAAAAAAAACAATAATAAGAGACTATAATAGATCTTTTTTTATCGTTATCTAACATGTATACTGATGAAATGACATTGATGTGTTCCAGCTTAAGATCTCGATTCAGAAATCTTTCCCTAACGTAGAAGTGACGAAGCTCTAATGTTTCGATTTTCGATGATACGTTGAATTTTGGATAACTTCGTCGTTTATTTTTTCGGGTCCTTTTCGCCTGTGTAGTCGGCATCACTGTAGACTGTAGAATTTCTTCATGCCTTTTAGTTGCCTGGAATTCCAGTTGCAACTATGAACTCATCAATTTTTGCCTTGTTGCTACCTACAACCAAACCATCATTGTCGTAGATTGCAATATATAGACAATTCTTTTTTTTTGCGGTAGAACAGACACGAATCAGCATTACTATTCTTGAAACTCGTTTTTGTGACGAAGGCAACGAAACGCTTGTTCCAACAATGTAGTGCTTGAATAGTGTCATACCTTGCAGGTCTGAATCCTTTGGCTACCAGTCGCCCCTTGAAGGGAATTCTCCCAACTATATTCAATTTTCTGACGTAAAACCTATCGATTCTTCAAGACTTGTACATCATTTGGACGATCAACTAATACCCAAGTTCCATTCTCTTTCAGAGCTTTCAAATCTTCATGAAGATTCCTTTTTTGTAGCTTGACTGCAATGATTCATAATACGTTGTTAGATCTTTGTCGTTACTGATAGCAAATCCAGCCATATACACGTATCCTCACTGGTCGTCCATTTTGCTTTCTTCCTTGTACGTTTTACATCGTTTCTCTACTAATGCTTCTTCGTCTGGCATTTGACTTCCTCCGGAACTAAGACGGTGTGTCAAGACACTCTTTCGCCCAATGGCCTTTTTGATTACATTGATAACAAGCAAATTCCTGTTTCGCACGATCAGTATCATTCTTGCATTTTTCACTATTTTGCCTTAGACCGCTTTTACGCGGCGATGTATTTGCCCAGACCCCGGTATCTCGGGTACACCTGAAACATTGCATCTTATTGAGCCGTTCACACACGCATACTTCCCACATACACAGTATCGGCGAGTAAATTTCGGTCTCTCCATAGTCCTTTTTTTTTCTCTTATTACACTAAATCATTGCGCGTTAACTATTATGTATTGTCCTGTAATTGGAAGGTCTGTTCTGTTGGGCAATAAATCTCTATTATTATTATTATTATTATTTAGGATTTTTGGGGGACTGATGGGCTGTTGGTTCATTGGAGCTGTTTACACGAGGAGACTTTTCATTAGCTCGCCGGTATTCCTCCTATTTTACTTTATTGCGTTTTTCCAATGCGGTATATTTGGTTCCTATCAAATTTTATTTTGATCTTAAGTCCCATACTTCTTAAGATCATTTTCTGTTTCCTTCACTCTTTTGGAATATCAATTTGGTTTATTTTAGTTGAATTTGTATCTCAGCGTTTGGTTTTCCTCTTAGAAATTTGTTTGATGCGAAATTTATTGTTTTAATGATCTCGGTTTTGTAAATTATTCAATTTTGATGAGGTGTAAGACACATCTGGTCAAGTTTGCGTACTTAATAACAGATTCTAACGGGTCGTTTGCGATAAGAAGGGTTCTCATCAGACTAAATTAATGCACATCTGCTGCTGTCAACGAAGACGCGGGTTTTTCGAGAAATTGTGCGAGTAATGTCAGTGGGTTCGATTGTGATTTGCGGTTGATTTGAAAATTCGTAAACAATGAGATTATTTTATGGTGGAAGTGGTCTTTCTCTAAATTCTGGAGACAGCGAAAAAACGAGGCTGTTTCTACCATCCAAACGGCCTCCGAAAATTGGTTCATCTTTTTTATCCAACCAGTCCTGTTTGTCATCTAATTCTGTGTTATATAGCAAAAAGAACCTGTCAGCGTTTGTGTGAGTTCAGTGCGCTTAGTATCGCAAATTTTGTATTTGGATTGTTAAGAAAAAAACTGTAAGTAATTTTGCGATTTCTTATTTTATTTGTCGACGGCATGCGTTCGGAGTAATGTATCCAAACAAGCTTGGTAAGTGTTTGAGATCTTGGATCGATCTCCGACTTCGAACGAAGGACCAGGTTGTTTCGTAACCAACGATAATAATTTTATTAAATTTCAAAAACAAGCATAATTAAATTAAAGTGAGTATAAAGTTTGAATTTATCATCTTAAGATTACCGGTTTACATTATTTGCTGAACGACCGATTCCGGCGCGGTTCAGAATGCGACTTTTTCAAACTGCCCTAAATTAATATTCTCGAAAACCCCATGTAATGTGGCCATGTGTTTATGGTCCACCTGGTCACGCATTCGGAAACGTAAGTTGTGAAGTTAGGGTGACAAGGCGGTGGTTTTCTTTGAGACCGAAACTAAATATTAAGATAGCACGAAAAAACATATGGACAACATAAATTAAATATCAAAGTTTCTTAAAATTACTTAATTATTCAACAGTAAGCTTTTATTTCTTTCAGGGATTTTGTTTTAATTTGGTTACTTTGTGGTTTAGAATACATTTTAGTCATTGTCAATCAATGAATTGTGTGTTTATTCGAATCCAAAGTGCGATCCAGATATTGTTTTCATGTCAGATTTTTTTCTTTCAATCAAAATGCGTGTAATAAATTCTTTGGAATTTTGGAATTTGATTGAAGCTAGTCAGTTTCCCAAATTGTTAATTTAAATCAATATTGGGATTTTTCTTTATAGCAGATGCCGGCTATGTACGAGGATCGATTATAAAAATTCTGCGTTTTAATTTTGTTTGTTTCAGCTACCTAAACAGGTATTTTTTGGGTGGTGTAGTGACCGCACGAGGTAGGTATACAATTTCCAGGTATGGAATTTGAAAAATGATTAGTTACGTATTTTGTGACCTTTTGTGAACTCCCCTAGTGGTGAAATACTTTCTAAATCCACCAATAAGGCACCACTGAATTTTTACCTTTGTTCCATACCTAGATGGGAGATTAATTAGTTATATCACGTGAACTCCAAACTTTGACAATTTCAAATCGTGCTTTATCTGGCGACTTCAGCCAGATTTGGTTTACCAAATTCTTTGGCCATATTTTATTCGTGATTAGCACAAATATTTTGTGCTCATTGAAGTTGCTTCAAGTAAGCGGAGTAGCTATTCTGTGTTTGCTGGTATTGCCGATAGGAAAGGAATCGCTTTCTATATAACTGGACCAACTTCATGGAAACCAGCGACTACATGCTTTAAGCATTGATTGTGTCCACGTCAACCGTACCCTGTGGGAATGCAGTTGCATACTAACTTATCGATTAATGATCACAGAAAGCCGATAACATAACAAATTTATTTACTGTCAAACAGGTCAGTTTCGTAAGGGGTTCACTACGGGTTAAATTTCTGTAGCTATTTGTGGATGTTTGTAAATTATTCTACGTGATCGGCAAAATGGTGAGAGAACTTAAGCACGTTAACTTTTAAGTACGGTTTGAATTTCAGCGTGAGGTATTATCAGTTCATATTGGCCAGTCAGGTGTACAAATAGGAAATGCTTGTTGGGAGCTGTACTGCTTGGAGCACGGTATTGGACCTAACGGTGAGCTGTGTCGTTCGGAAAACGGCTGCGTTGGAGATGACGATAGTTTCAACACATTCTTCAGTGAGAGCGATACAGGAAAACGAGTGCCAAGGGGAGTTTTCGCAGATTTAGAACCCACTGTAATTGACGAGGTACGTACCGGTACCTACAGGCAGCTGTTTCATCCGGACCAATTAATCTCCGGAAAAGAAGACGCGGCAAACAACTATGCCCGTGGACACTACACCGTTGGTAGGGACATCGTGGATAAAGTTTTAGACCGAATTCGAAAACTAGTGGATCAATGCAACGGTCTGCAAGGTTTCCTAATATTTCATTCGTTCGGTGGAGGAACCGGATCCGGTTTTACTTCTTTGCTCATGGAAAGACTGTCCGATGAATACGGCAAGCGCTCAAAATTAGAGCTCGCAATTTACCCAGCCCCACAGATATCCACCGCAGTGGTCGAACCGTATAATTCGGTTTTGACAACACACTCGACTTTGGAACATTCTGATTGCGCATTTATGATTGATAACGAGGCCGTCTACGATATTTGCCGAAAAAATTTGGACATCGATAGACCCACCTACACAAATCTGAACAGGATAATAAGCCAGGTCGTCTCTTCAATTACGGCGTCTCTCAGGTTCGAAGGAGCCTTAAATGTAGATTTGACTGAATTTCAGACGAATCTCGTACCGTATCCGCGAATTCATTTCCCGTTGGTTACGTATGCGCCAGTTACTACCGCGGAGAAGGCGTACCACGAGCAATTGACTGTAAAGCAAATTACTTACGCGTGCTTTGAGCCGTGCAACCAAATGGTCAAGTGCGATCCTCGACACGGTAGATACATGGCTTGCTGTATGCTGTATCGTGGGGACGTTGTACCTAAAGATGTTAATGCAGCTATAAGCATTATTAAAGGTAAACGTGCCATACAATTTGTCGAATGGTGTCCTACAGGTTTTAAAGTCGGCATCAACTATCAACCCCCTACTGTTGTACCAGGGGGAGATTTGGCCAAGGTACAGCGCGCCCTGTGCATGATAGCAAATACTACTGCGATATCAGAGGCTTGGTCACGGCTTGACTACAAATTCGACGTGATGTTCTCAAAAAGGGCCTTTGTACATTGGTACATGAATGAAGGTATGGAGGAGGGCGAGTTTAACGAAGCACGAGAAGACGTAGCGGGCTTGGAACACGATTATGATGAAGTTGGTATGAGTGGGGACCTACATAATGTTGGAGAGGAGCATTGAATGTAAATTAATTTTAAATTGTACCAAGTACAAACGTAATTAAACCTAAATTAGTATCTACAATTCCTCGTATTATTGAGTAATTCACGTAATAATTTGCGAACCTATTACGAGATCGTAATGCTGTCCGGCCATTTATAAGAATTCCTCCACCCCCTGTGTCTCACTTATCAAAAGGTATGTATACTTCGTAGAACTAAAAACTCATATCCTTCATGCTTCATAGTATCATGTGTTATATTATGAGAGTACCCTTCATGAAAGATCTCAGAGAAAGTAATGGCGACAAATGTCTTCAACCGACACTTATTATTTTACCCTTTCTGATTTAAATTTCAATTCGCCAAAAATATTAGATCTTTGAACCAAACGGTGAAATCCGGCGGAACGGAACGGTACGGTAGTCTCGAGCGCCACCAGGAGTTGTCTCATTGCCCCTGGTCAAGGTATGTGGTTTCAAAACGGTGCGGTCACCCAAGTAACAACTATCGATCACTAGCGAAACCCTACAACAAAATTACGGCACACGAAACGGTAACAATTTTTCAAGCGGTAACGAAAGCAAAATTAACTGTGGGTATCTACTGGGAAAGCAGCATTAAGGAAAGTAGATACTCCCCTTATAATCAACGGAAATTAAAATTGGTAAATTAAACTTGCCATAAAATTGCATAAATTTCAATGGCCAGCGTTGAACATATCAAAAAAGGATCGCCTTTAAATCACGCTCGTACCTTTTATCGAATTTCACAAATGCGGAAAGGCAACGGTGGACTTCCCAAGAAGCACGGCGAACCCGCATCATAACGCTGAAAATTAAAATCTCTAATTAATTGCTCGGTTCCCTGAAATCTAAACTGTTTAAGTAATAATTCAGCGCGCTTCCAATGACACTAAACCCAGTCTAATCAGACGCCGTTTGCTGCAACACATTTAATTAGCGACCGATAATTATGTTTACTTAATTGGATGGATTAAAATTCCAAAATTCGGTAGTTCAGTTAACAACTATTGATACTCTCGGCTCCAACGAGAGGTCTAGTTATCTACGTACGTATACGTACGTACGCTGCACTGAACAAAAATATCTCCAATGTCGCATCACACCGAACGTCACGAACCAACAAATAGAATTGTGATTCCACTTTTGAGTAATGTTTCGAGTAATAGTATTTTATTTGTTACTCGGTTGTAAACGTTGATTAACAAGACAAAACGCAAACGGGTAAACGTCATGTTTAAACGCTACTGACTTGTAAAACTGACAGCAGACCTGTAAAACTGACAGCAGACCTGTAAAAATTTTACAAGTTAGTAATCTAGTAATTTCATTGGCCAGAATTAATGCGAAGTCTTTGTTACATGGATAACATGATATTTTAGACATTTCTTCAAGATTAATTTAAGAACTAATTATTTACGTTTACTATTGTTTACAAATGAGTAACAAATAAAATATTGTACATTATACGCCAGGTAATAGTTTTTACTGGCTCTAGGAGATGACAGGCTCGCCTGAATAAAATACTATTACATTATTAGCCAGGTAAGTGAGTTTTTACTGGCGATAGGAGAAGTTGACTGGCGAGCCTTCAGGCGAGCCTGTCATCTCCTAGAGCCAGTAAAAACTATTACCTGGCGTATAATGTACAATATTTTATTTGTTACTCATTTGTAAACAATAGTAAACGTAAATAATTAGTTCTTAAATTAATCTTGAAGAAATGTCTAAAATATCATGTTATCCATGTAACAAAGACTTCGCATTAATTCTGGCCAATGAAATTACTAGATTACTAACTTGTAAAATTTTTACAGGTCTGCTGTCAGTTTTACAGGTCTGCTGTCAGTTTTACAAGTCAGTAGCGTTTAAACATGACGTTTACCCGTTTGCGTTTTGTCTTGTTAATCAACGTTTACAACCGAGTAACAAATAAAATACTATTACTCGAAACATTACTCAAAAGTGGAATCACAATTCTATTTGTTGGTTCGTGACGTCCGGTGTGATGCGACATTGGAGATATTTTTGTTCAGTGCAGCGTACGTACGTATACGTACGTAGATAACTAGACCTCTCGTTGGAGCCGAGAGTATCAATAGTTGTTAACTGAACTACCGAATTTTGGAATTTTAATCCATCCAATTAAGTAAACATAATTATCGGTCGCTAATTAAATGTGTTGCAGCAAACGGCGTCTGATTAGACTGGGTTTAGTGTCATTGGAAGCGCGCTGAATTATTACTTAAACAGTTTAGATTTCAGGGAACCGAGCAATTAATTAGAGATTTTAATTTTCAGCGTTATGATGCGGGTTCGCCGTGCTTCTTGGGAAGTCCACCGTTGCCTTTCCGCATTTGTGAAATTCGATAAAAGGTACGAGCGTGATTTAAAGGCGATCCTTTTTTGATATGTTCAACGCTGGCCATTGAAATTTATGCAATTTTATGGCAAGTTTAATTTACCAATTTTAATTTCCGTTGATTATAAGGGGAGTATCTACTTTCCTTAATGCTGCTTTCCCAGTAGATACCCACAGTTAATTTTGCTTTCGTTACCGCTTGAAAAATTGTTACCGTTTCGTGTGCCGTAATTTTGTTGTAGGGTTTCGCTAGTGATCGATAGTTGTTACTTGGGTGACCGCACCGTTTTGAAACCACATACCTTGACCAGGGGCAATGAGACAACTCCTGGTGGCGCTCGAGACTACCGTACCGTTCCGTTCCGCCGGATTTCACCGTTTGGTTCAAAGATCTAATATTTTTGGCGAATTGAAATTTAAATCAGAAAGGGTAAAATAATAAGTGTCGGTTGAAGACATTTGTCGCCATTACTTTCTCTGAGATCTTTCATGAAGGGTACTCTCATAATATAACACATGATACTATGAAGCATGAAGGATATGAGTTTTTAGTTCTACGAAGTATACATACCTTTTGATAAGTGAGACACAGGGGGTGGAGGAATTCTTATAAATGGCCGGACAGCATTACGATCTCGTAATAGGTTCGCAAATTATTACGTGAATTACTCAATAATACGAGGAATTGTAGATACTAATTTAGGTTTAATTACGTTTGTACTTGGTACAATTTAAAATTAATTTACATTCAATGCTCCTCTCCAACATTATGTAGGTCCCCACTCATACCAACTTCATCATAATCGTGTTCCAAGCCCGCTACGTCTTCTCGTGCTTCGTTAAACTCGCCCTCCTCCATACCTTCATTCATGTACCAATGTACAAAGGCCCTTTTTGAGAACATCACGTCGAATTTGTAGTCAAGCCGTGACCAAGCCTCTGATATCGCAGTAGTATTTGCTATCATGCACAAGGCGCGCTGTACCTTGGCCAAATCTCCCCCTGGTACAACAGTAGGGGGTTGATAGTTGATGCCGACTTTAAAACCTGTAGGACACCATTCGACAAATTGTATGGCACGTTTACCTTTAATAATGCTTATAGCTGCATTAACATCTTTAGGTACAACGTCCCCACGATACAGCATACAGCAAGCCATGTATCTACCGTGTCGAGGATCGCACTTGACCATTTGGTTGCACGGCTCAAAGCACGCGTAAGTAATTTGCTTTACAGTCAATTGCTCGTGGTACGCCTTCTCCGCGGTAGTAACTGGCGCATACGTAACCAACGGGAAATGAATTCGCGGATACGGTACGAGATTCGTCTGAAATTCAGTCAAATCTACATTTAAGGCTCCTTCGAACCTGAGAGACGCCGTAATTGAAGAGACGACCTGGCTTATTATCCTGTTCAGATTTGTGTAGGTGGGTCTATCGATGTCCAAATTTTTTCGGCAAATATCGTAGACGGCCTCGTTATCAATCATAAATGCGCAATCAGAATGTTCCAAAGTCGAGTGTGTTGTCAAAACCGAATTATACGGTTCGACCACTGCGGTGGATATCTGTGGGGCTGGGTAAATTGCGAGCTCTAATTTTGAGCGCTTGCCGTATTCATCGGACAGTCTTTCCATGAGCAAAGAAGTAAAACCGGATCCGGTTCCTCCACCGAACGAATGAAATATTAGGAAACCTTGCAGACCGTTGCATTGATCCACTAGTTTTCGAATTCGGTCTAAAACTTTATCCACGATGTCCCTACCAACGGTGTAGTGTCCACGGGCATAGTTGTTTGCCGCGTCTTCTTTTCCGGAGATTAATTGGTCCGGATGAAACAGCTGCCTGTAGGTACCGGTACGTACCTCGTCAATTACAGTGGGTTCTAAATCTGCGAAAACTCCCCTTGGCACTCGTTTTCCTGTATCGCTCTCACTGAAGAATGTGTTGAAACTATCGTCATCTCCAACGCAGCCGTTTTCCGAACGACACAGCTCACCGTTAGGTCCAATACCGTGCTCCAAGCAGTACAGCTCCCAACAAGCATTTCCTATTTGTACACCTGACTGGCCAATATGAACTGATAATACCTCACGCTGAAATTCAAACCGTACTTAAAAGTTAACGTGCTTAAGTTCTCTCACCATTTTGCCGATCACGTAGAATAATTTACAAACATCCACAAATAGCTACAGAAATTTAACCCGTAGTGAACCCCTTACGAAACTGACCTGTTTGACAGTAAATAAATTTGTTATGTTATCGGCTTTCTGTGATCATTAATCGATAAGTTAGTATGCAACTGCATTCCCACAGGGTACGGTTGACGTGGACACAATCAATGCTTAAAGCATGTAGTCGCTGGTTTCCATGAAGTTGGTCCAGTTATATAGAAAGCGATTCCTTTCCTATCGGCAATACCAGCAAACACAGAATAGCTACTCCGCTTACTTGAAGCAACTTCAATGAGCACAAAATATTTGTGCTAATCACGAATAAAATATGGCCAAAGAATTTGGTAAACCAAATCTGGCTGAAGTCGCCAGATAAAGCACGATTTGAAATTGTCAAAGTTTGGAGTTCACGTGATATAACTAATTAATCTCCCATCTAGGTATGGAACAAAGGTAAAAATTCAGTGGTGCCTTATTGGTGGATTTAGAAAGTATTTCACCACTAGGGGAGTTC